GTAAAATGATATCCAGATGGTGATCGGTACAGTAAATAAAAAAGGCTGAACAGGGGGATAAAATGGGCAGAGGGTTATTGGGGGACGTCCGCATGGTTGTATTTGTTTGGATAAACGGACAGCGAAAAAGCAGAGTTATTCATTTATCCATTGTTTACCAGCATCTCAGCAGGACAGTTCATTGAAGACCTCAGGCCTTGGATTCTTCCTGGTCTGAGGTGAGCAACTATTTTATTTACAAAGTGAGTGTTGCACATAGACAATATGGTTTTCATCTTTGGCTTGTTCAGAGGAATACTGCACAGTTCATCTCATTAGATAAAAAGGCCTGCAGAACAGTCTGTGTCTTTATTTGGGACCTTTCATATGTGCTGTACCTGCTACTGCCTTCTGAGAGAAATCTCTCGCATAGAAAAGACAAAAAACACAAAGCTTTCATGGCCCATTTTATTTGACATTTTATCTGAGCCAGTTAGAGCATCTAATGGCGCGTTTCCACTACAGCCCGCAGCCCGGTTTAAGAGGGCTGTGACGTCAGCGGCCCGTCTTTGGTTGCGTTTCCACTCGGCCTAGTACCGGCCGGCGGGTCCTAATTCACAGTTTTTCTGGCCTCATAAAATCGTGGGTCCAGGGCCAGAGACAACGAGGCTGAGTCGGGCTGAGTATGCTAAACTAGAGAGAGCGTCGCTGGCAAGGGGGCAACAACTACAACAAGATGGACATATTTGACCGTGATTTAATTGTAATACACGTTTCAAAATGATGCCGAAGTAACAACATACTGATACCGGTTAGTAACAACCATGAATTAATGCTTTGTCAAGTCTGCAGACAGACGGCAGGGGAAAAACCTTTTAAAATGCTTGTTTTCTAAATGGAGATTGGCTAAGCTAACGCAGTATATCCTCCGACCGTCCACACTCACAACAACGGCCTATACAGACATAAATAAAGCAGCGACTGTATTCACCATGACACAGGCAGTCTGTGGTTTGTACTTGTTTAACTTTTGTCTAGTTTCTGAACATATATGAGGAGCTGTGAGCTCTGAGTGCTAACAGCTAACGGCTGTGTTGTTTTTCTGGGGTCCTCTGAAGATCACGTCACGGCTCCGCCTACACTGCGTTACTATAGATACTGCCCCAGTTCCTAAACTGTAATGGAAATGCGCCATAAAGTGAGCCAGTCCTAACGAGGCCCAGCCATACCGAGCGGGGCCGAGCGAGGCCGTGTAGTGGAAACGCGGCATAAGCTATGGTTTCGCTATATCCTTTGTACTGCGTCTTGCAATGATGTGTGGTTGTGCCCTGAATAACAAATAAAATGTGTCTCAATCAGATAAGTGAGACAATTTCTGCTGAGGAAACAGATCTTTAGAGAGCAGCTATAGATCCTTTCTGAATCTTAAAGTTGTACTTCATATAATCCAATTACCTCAGCTCTAAAGTTTTCCAAATTCATTATTTTACAATGACCATTAAATAGGATAAACATATATTTATAAACAATAAAAAACGGTATTGATTTCCGATGCTTGGACCAACAGGGTCTGATACAGCATTCCCACTATATGTTATTCACAGACAAAATCATTATTATTCCGCCGGAATTTTGCACCTCTTCTCCTCCTGCATTCAACATCGCAGAAACTCAGTTCAAACATCAAAACGTTCAGCTCGGTCGGGAATCGATGGCTATCATTTGGATTATCCATAACTTTCATAATTCCAGAGATACGTCCCATAATTCATCACATTTTTAACCATTGAAGTCAATGGAGAAAATCTTCAGACTTGAACAATCTTCATGCGACTTCAACTGCTAACTGTTCATTCATACTTTCACTCAGAAACCTCATTCCAACTTTAAAATGTTACACATCTTTCTGACATTATTCGTGTAACACAACTTTTAAATCTGATTCTTTTAGAGATATTAAACATTGTTCAGACCTTGGTAAAGAGGCTTTCTTCAGATTTTAACATTAACTAGAGTGCGTGATGTCACAGCTAGAGGGTAGGAAATCTTGAAATTTGCCCAAACCCTACATTCCTGAGACATCATTTTTCATGACAAACGTAGGAAAACATCTCGTAGCTTGAAAAAAAACTTCACAGGTTTGGTAACGATGCAGCCATCAACGCATCTAAGCGTATTATGGGGTGTCATCAAATGCCGTTGCCATGGCGACAGACCACTCGCCATGAAGCACAATGTCGCTGTAAGTCCAATGGAAACGGTCCGATCGTCCCCCAAACTTCGCTTGTATATCACCGGTCCAGCCCTCAACAGCTCTACGTCAATTATGGGGTTTCTTCAAATGCCGTTGCCATGGCAACACAATGCTCGCCATGAAACGCGGTTTTCTCATAACTTCAGTGAAAATGTTCCAAACGGCCCAAAACTTCACAGGTTTGGTAACGATGCAGCCATCAACGCATCTAAGCGTATTATGGGGTGTCATCAAATGCCGTTGCCATGGTGACAGACCACTCGCCATGAAGCACGATGTTGCTGTAAGTCCAATGGAAACGGTCCGATCGTCCCCCAAACTTCGCTTGTATATCACCGGTCCAGCCCTCAACAGCTCTACGTAAATTATGGGGTTTCTTCAAATGCCGTTGCCATGGCAACACAATGCTCGCATTAAACACGGTTTTCTCATAACTTCAGTGAAAATGTTCCAAACGGCCCAAAACTTCACAGGTTTGGTAACGATACAGCCATCAACGCATCTAAGCGTATTATGGGGTGTCATCAAATGCCGTTGCCATGGCGACAGATCATTCACCATCAAGTTAGTTCAAAAGTTTGCAGTTCAAATATTCTGCTGCTTTTCCAAGCCTTTTTACTTTCTTTTCTTCACTCATCACACATTCAAGCCCCCAGTGTTCATGTATCATTTCAATCTAAATTCTTCACTTTCTTCTTACACATTACATTTCAGCATAGCAGTTTAGCGTCAGCTTTTCAGCATAAAGCATTCCCACTAGCAATTTTTTCAGGAATTGCATTCTCTAGTTTACATTTCTTTTCCTCCTTTTAGACATTTGTTTTAAAATGTCATAAATAGCTTAAGCATTCTCTGTTGGTGACCAATGTTTTGTGATGACACAATGACCTTGGGTCCATGTGGACGTCTGTGCCAAAGTCTGATATCCCGTTCGAAAGAATAGGACGTATGTTTCTAGGTCTTAAATATGGACAGCTGAAACATACCACATTGTTACAATTACGTGTAGAACCACGTTGGGAAAAAAACCATTCCTCTGTTAAACAACACTATGCTTGAAAATAGCTGCCTCAAAACAATATACTAGGTCACCGTAAACCAAGGTTTTCATCACCCATTTTATTATATTTTAAGAGGCCATCTATCATGACCAGTATGACAACAAGGTACAAAAGAAACAAGATGAACAACCTCAAGTATCTCTGTCTGTGTACCTTGTCAGTTCTCAAATAAACTCTATTGACTCTAGCTACCACTACATCAATATCCTGCTCTTAAATGTAACCTTTGTGACTAGTCATAACCTCCACACAAAAGGTCACAAGTTGGTCTGCCTCTAGTTCCTGACGAATGCACTGTTTAAAACAAAAAATGCAGTGCAGCTGTTTTAGAAAATTATTTAAAAGATAATAATACATTCTGTACTTGTGGCCCATTGCTCTAAGACACATGTGTCAAACTCAAGACCCGGGGGACAAATCTGGCCCGTGGTGGATTTAATTTCGGCCCGCAGGATAATTTTTAATTACTATTAGATCTGGCCCGCCGGTATATTGCACGCACACCTTCACTCAATCCTGAGGATCTCCTCAGCTCAGAGCCTGACCCCAAACATTGATGAACTTGCACCCAAGATGAGATGCCAAGTATCTGGCTTAAACTAGCATCACAGAGCAGCAAACTGAGTTTCAATGGATGTTTCCTTCTGCACTTTTTTTCTTGCGACAACAGGGCATGTTTGTTTTTTTCTTTGAGGGAAGTTTTTTTGAAGCTGTTGTTGGCCTGTGGAAAAATGTAATCATAAGAAATGACTCCGGAAAAGCTGCAGATAGAGCCATAAGAAATGAATGCAACTGATTATTTAATGTTTAATGTTGTTTTTATAGGCAATCATTTAAGCTGTGTTAGTCCCAGGTTTAATATGTGCAATAAGTTCATTTCAATAAGTTCTGCAATAAACATTGAACCAGTCCGGCCCTCGACTAGTACCAATTTTTTTATTTTGGCCCACTGTGTATTTGAGTTTGACACTCAAGATACTCAATTTTTGGCTCTAAGATAATAAAAAAACAATTATTTAACCGCCTTGACACCTTAACAACCAAGACTTTAGTGTTTTAAAGCAAAGAATTGCAAAGCTTTAAGGGTAAAACCACATAGTTTGTTTCTTGGCAATTGTGCTCATAAGAATTAAAAGCAGGGAAACTATTGTAAAAAACATCTCAATGTGGGGAAAAGAAAGTGCCAAAAAGTTAACCATTGCTGAAAGTGAAGTTACCTGGCCATGCGAGATAATGTACTCATTATTGAACAATTCAAAGGTCATCCAGACATACGGGAACATGACATTGATTACTTAGAAAGGTACTTAGAAACAAAGTTACCAGACTAAGTTTACTCTGTACAACTATATAGAAGAGGAGGAAGGGAAATCAATTGTTGTTTTCATTAAAAAAGAGAATAGAGTACCAAAGGACTAAAGTATGTATCTATCTATCTAAAGACACACTCTACAGTTTATGAATCCAAAAACTATTGGTGTGCACTTGCAGAGAGCAGATGCTACTTTGATGTTGGGTTGAATGCATCAGAGCTCTAAAACATTCCAGAAGTTTGTAAAATCATATCCAGATGGTGTTTGCTACAAAGAAGCATAACAGTCAGAACAGGGGGGAAAATGGGCGGAGGGTTTAGAGGGGACCTACGCATGGTTGCATTTGTTTGGATAAACAGGCAGCAAAAAGGTTAAGTCAGGATCATGCAGAGTTATACATTTACTTGCATTCCCACCAGCAGCTCAGCAGGACAGCTCATTGATAAACTCGGACAGTGGATTCTTCATGGTCTGAGGTAGAAGGCTGAGGTGAGGAGCTATTTTATTAAGAAATTGTGCGTTTCTGCATGTGTAATTAATTTTTATCTTAAGTTTGTACAAAGGAATTTCTTCACAGTTAAGCTCATTACATTAACAGGCCTTTTTGCTTCAACATACTTCTGCTACTTAGAAAAATCTCCCTTGTGTAAAGAGGTTAAACACAAATGTGAACGTATTTTAAAAGCTTTCATGCCCCAGTTCACATTGTATTTAATCTCAAAGTGAGGCATTGAAGCTCAGTCTATAATCTAGGCCGTGGTTAACCATGTCCTGTGTGCTGCATTTCGCAATGAGATGTCGTTTTTGTGGACACCACAATGCATGCTACAGTATGTTGGCTTTCATTTTAGGATAATAACTTTTGCATTGAATATCATGCTGTGCTCACAATAATTTACAAAAATACCTCATGTTAAGATGATACAGGGCACTGATGTTTACTTTAAAGGTTAAGGGTCACAAGGACTTTGACTTGGTATAATTGGTGCTATAGGTCACATAACAGTTCCAGGAGAAAACTCAGACAAGGACAATGACCACAATGTGGCAGATTGAGACAGATTGAAAAAAGACATACTGTTTTGGCTGTGATCATAAACACAATAAATATAGATTAAATTCAAAACATGTTTGTAGATGGGGAGTATAAAAAAATATAATAAAGACGGGCCTCATCAGACATTTGAAAGCACTCAGGTTTAAAAGAGGTACTGCATTATTGCTTACATAGCATGCCTATAATTTAGGCTAAAAAAAGACAGACAATATATTAAAAGATCTTCTCCTATTTGTCTGGGAGATTGAATGTATAATAAATTATGTATGTAAACAATGTTAACAATAAAGGTGTAACTCAATTACAAATTAAAACAAAATGGCATGAAATCCACAAAACCAGCCTGAAAAAAAGGAAAACCAAGGTTAATCAAGCTTATTAACCAATTGTATTATACTCACATTTGTCAGGTGTCCAGAAACCACTCTAAAGAAATGCTGCGTTGCTCCATGTCTTCCTAGCTGGATGGTACATTTGTTGTTGAGAAGTTAATGTTCAAAATATAGGATGACAATTTAGCAGTTTGATCACAGCATGAACTGCAAATCTGTTCAGTAAAGTGTCTTTGTCTCCTATACAGTGATGGGGTCATATCCAGCCCTGGCGTTCATCCTGCTGTTTTCAGCGACCCTGCCTTCCAGTTGTGATGGTGGAAAAGTGCTGGTTTATCCGGTAGATGGGAGCCACTGGCTAAACATGAAAATCCTGTTGGAGGCGCTTCATTCAAAGGGCCATCAGATCACGGTTATTCGTTCCTCCACCAGCTGGTACGTTTCAGAATTCTCCCAACATTACACCTCCATCACTGTCATCCAGGAACAATCCCAAAACTTAGAGAGCCAAGACTTCATGACCTCTTTCCTGAAGAGGTCGATAGAGATCCGTCGGAATAAAGGCTCACTATGGGCGCTCCTTGAGTTTTATAGGAATATTTTCAACATGATGGGGGAGAACCAGAAAGTTGTGGCACAACTGGTTGTCAGCATCTTCGAGAATAAGACACTTATTAAGGAGCTGCAGGAAACTGGATATGATATGTTTCTGACTGACCCTGCATTTCCAGGTGGAGTGCTGTTAGCACACTATCTCAAGCTTCCCTTGGTTTTCAATGTACGTTGGCTTTTCAATGGCGAGGGACACTTTGCCATTGCTCCATCACCTCTTTCCTATGTCCCTGCATTGTTCTCTGACCACTCTGACAAAATGGACTTTTTCCAGAGAATCTACAACATATTCCGGCAAAGTGCAATGACTTACATGTACCACTATGTCTCGAATCCACCTTACCAGGCTGTGTGTGATCATTATTTTGGACCTGATGTCAGCGCCCTGTCTCTCATCCAGGGTGCTGATCTCTGGCTAATGCGGGTTGACTTTACATTTGAGTTTCCTCGTCCCACCATGCCCAATGTTGTCTACATCGGAGGCTTCCAAGGAAAGCCCTCCAAGCCTCTTTCATCAGATTTGGAGGAATTTGTGCAGAGTTCTGGTGAGCATGGGGTGATTGTAATGACTCTGGGGACCCTGCTTAGCGACCTGGGCCCTGATATATCGGAGATAATCGCCTCAGCATTTGCAAACCTCCCCCAAAAGGTTGTGTGGAGACACTTGGGGAAAAGACCAAAATCTCTGGGAAACAATACCATGCTGGTTGAATGGCTGCCTCAAAATGATCTTCTAGGTCACCCTAAAACCAAGGTTTTTGTCACGCATGGGGGTACTAATGGAATTTACGAGGCCATATACCACGGTGTCCCAGTTCTGGGCATTCCTCTCATCTTTGACCAGTACGACAACATGGTGCGTCTGAAGTCCCGGGAAGTGGCCGAGATTGTAGAAGTGACAACCTTGGAAGTTGAGTCCATGACTAGTGCTCTGAAGAATATTCTGGACCCAAAGAAACCATACAAACAGAACATGGTTAAACTGTCACAGCTTCATCTTGACAAACCAATGAAACCCATAGACAGTGCCGTTTTCTGGATGGAGTTCGTCATGAGGCACAAGGGTGCAGCCCATCTGCGCACAGAGTCATACAAGTTGCCATGGTATGCCTATCACTGTCTAGATGTGATAGCAGTCTTTGTAGCATTTGGTTTACTGATCATTGCTTTAGTTTGGGTATCTTGTAGATGTCTCATTGGATGTTTGATAAAGACCAAGAAGTCCACATCAAAGTCAAAGAATGAATAGATAACCGCATGATGATGTTGTGAGCTGTAGAGTTGATAAGAGTGAGATAAAACATCTGTAAATTACAGTGGGACAGAAACTATGAAATAATAAATGACATTACATGTTACTTGTTAGACACTTTTATCCAAAGCAACTTACATACTCAATACTGTGGGCAATCCCCACAGGAGCAATTTGGGGTGAAGTGTCTTGCCCAGGGACACAACAACATGCTGACTGCAGTGGGGTTTGAACCTGTGACCCCCCTGATCCCAACACCAAGGCTCTATCCACTGCGCCACACGCCCCGCCATTAAATAACATTAATATATCAGTAGGATAGTGTTGTTAAGTCTTATTCATAATAACTTTAAACTGTTCAAATCATTAGCACTATTCAATCTACTGAAATGTATTTTTGAAGAAAATAAAAATGGGATCTTTGCATAATTAACATGCAGTATAGTGTTTCATGAACTAGTTTTACAATGTTGCTTTCCCCTCTTTCTGACAATTAATTATCATCAGTTTGTATGTTGCAATGCCTGTGAAAAGTTACAAAAATAATAAATTGATTGACGATGTTTCTTTTTTTCAAAAACCTGTCTTGTTTCTTTTTATACAAATCTCATAAGTATAACTATAAAGCAAGTTGAATTTGGACATGTTGAGTGTTAATAAACTTTAAATAAACAAGTGACAGTGGTGCGGCAGTTTGTAGCTGGATATACTAACATTGCATTGATGCTGGACTTATTTAACAACCAAACTTGTTGTCAGTTTCGTACAGTTAGAAAGCATTAGCCTATTGCATACTGGAAGCAGAATCAAACCATTTAACCGATATTTCTGACCTTAAATAACGGTTGAACTGGGCAAGCAAGACTGTAGCTCTGTGTTACACAGTGTAGCCTATGACCCAAAACTAACTTATTAACCACTGTAAACCGGCGCCGATTAAATCCTTTATCTACTTTATAACTGCGGTACATAGATCACTAACATCAGTTATTAGTCCCGACTCTAGTTACTGTCAATCCTGTTTCAAAGTATTAGGTGGATATTTACATTACATAGCATTTATATAGCTGATGCTTTTTGCATTCGACCATGTGAGTACAACCACAGAAAATGCACAAATAATTTAAGTACATCAACTTCATCAGTTCCACTAATGTAATGCAAGTGCTTCATTTATAGACAGAAAGAAAGGTATATCTAGACAGATATTTTTGCGACATATTTTATTTCTCTAACATGTTCCCTTTTAAGCCAATATACACACATAACAAATGGTACTGGGCTTCCCTGCACCCAACTACAGTATTACATCATTATACTTTAGCTCCACAGCCTTGCTCTAAAGAATACAGTGAAACTTAATAGGCTGTGGTTAATCTTCAGTTCCTGTTTTATAAGCACATTTGTCAGCATGTTGAAACTGCGTCATGTTTTACAAAAACATAAAAAATGTCAATTATTTAGCAGGCAACATCATTCATCTTGTAGTCAATGCATACAACTAGAAAAGTGGCATTCCGCAATTTGTCAATGTAAAGATATTATTATGCAGTTTGTGCTACAGCCACAGAGTTGGAGTTTGACAGAAACAAACGGCTGAACGTCTCACGAGCTCGCAGGAACGGCTGTCTGAGTTGAGCAGGAATATTTTCCTCTCCATGGAGGTAAACCAGAGGGTTGAGAGCACTGTTCAGACACACAAGGCCACGACTTATCTGATGAGCAATGTAGACTCCATCAAACCATTTACGGCATTGTCTCTGTTTGGACAGTACTCTTGCCCAGAGGTTGAGGTTCTTCAACACATGATAGGGGATGTAACAAACGGAGTAAAGAAGAATCAAGATGAACAACAACTTCAAGCATCTCTGTTTCAGTACCTTGTCAGTGGTGTTTGTGCGACAGAGCACAACAATCACATGTCCATAGCAGCCCAGAGCGATCAGGAATGGGATACAAAACCCAGTGAGAGTCCATCCAAGGCTGTACTTCAGGTAATCCTCGACGTAGATCTTACCGGTGGTATCATAACATTTCCCAGTCTTGTTTCCAAACGTTTTGCTGAAGAACATGTCTGGAACAATTTGAATGCTCACCAACAGCCAAACCAAGACTGAGATCCCAACAGAGTGGAGGACAGTTATTCTTCCCATAACTCTCATCGGATGGACAATAGCCAGGTACCTGTACACACTTATGCAAGTGAGGAACCCAATGCTGCCATACAAATTCAGGTTGAAGCAGAATCTTGTTATCTTGCAAAGCACATCTCCAAAGATCCATTTACTCCCCATAAAGTAGTACACCATCAAAAGTGGGAGTGTGAGCAGATACAAAACATCAGCGAGTCCGAGGTTGAGAACAAAAACATTGATGTTTCCCAGTTTCTTCCACTTCTGAAGCAAAGATTTCAAACCCCATCCATTAGCTAGCAAACCAACGATGAAGACTAAGATGTAAACAGGAGGCAGAAATGTGTGTGTAAAGTTAAAGCTGACAGGAGTACAAGAAGACTTATTCATTCTGTATTAAGAGAGCGTTACAACAAATCTTTGTCTCTGTAGATGATTTGGCTTATGAGCAATTTAAGAAAACCTGACATACATGTACGATCTGTTCAAAGAAGACTTCCTTTTTTATGCTCTGCTGTCACAGCTAGATAAAAGTGAGATCAAAGTAAAGTTATGCCAGCATCACGTATGATTTGTCATTTTGCGAACTCACCACAACTGTTTGTTATTCTTTCCACTATATGACAGGTGGGAGGATGTGGTCTTGAGTGTGAGTATTTCTGAAAGCAGATAAGGACTGTTCGCATGTCCAAAGGTGTAAAACTAAATCTCACCTTATATTAATCCTTATTTACCTTAAAAGTTTTAGCAAACACTTAAAGTGCATACTAATGTATCATTTAAGACATGTAGAAGCAGTTTGGGTGATGCAGGTTTGCTTCGTAATTTAAACAAATGAAAATAAAGGTAAAAGTCTCCCTCTAATGGTAGAGCTCCTACTAAAAACAAGAATTTACCAAGCCTTCTTAAACAGACTTGCAGATTAAGGGAAATATAGTTTAATTGATCTAAATGTTGTTGTTTTTCAATTGAAATGTTTATTAAGGTACACAAAGCAGAATTATACTTAATTGGAAAATGTAACTTTATGTGTACTTAAAGGTGGGGTAGGAAAGTTTGAGACACCGGCTCAAGATTCACTTTTTGTTATATTCCATGGAATGCTCTTAACATCCCGATAGCAATGAATATCTTAAGTGCTTTGACAAAAAATCCATAAAAAAATGTCATCTGTGGAAGCTGTAGTACTGTAAAAAGCACGACCAATCATTTTAGCCGGCCCGGCTAAAATAACTGGATGGCCTACCTGCCTGTCAGCCTTCCATCTGTGCACAAACTTATCTCGTGCCCTCATTGGTCATGTGCGCGTTCGTGTGTGTTGGAGGAGGGGCTCTGTAAGGAAGTGGCAGATTTTTTCCGGCTGTGTATTTTCAAATTCTAGCGATCTCGAGCTGGTTTCTCCAAAATTACCTACTCCACCTTTAATGGTCTTTTATCTTTCATTTATTCACAACAGCATTACTAATACCATTGATTAACGCCAGTTTACCATGTAACTGTGAAACAATACCTCAAATGCTTTTTTACATACACATACAAACTAAGTTGAGAAGATTTGACTTAAAAATATATAGAGGAGAATAGTTTTTATGTTGTTAAGGGCACATTTAAATTAAAGCTCAGGTTTAGATAAGCAAACTGCAAAGACAGAAGTCTACAGTCACACTATGCCACACATTAAAAGATAGATATAAGTCGAGGTCTCAAGTTTCTTTTTGGTGCTTGGGAGCTGTGGTGAAATTAATGTCAAACAATGGCCACAAGGTGGGGTGAAAGTCAAGGTTTTAGCTGATCTATAGCAAAAGGTTTACCACGTGATGAGCACAAAAGTGATTTTTGAGAGTTTTTCTTTGTCAGTGTGTGTTTGCCATTTTGATCATCTTTTTGAGTGAGCAACAATATGAAAAATAACAGGTGGATATATGAGTGACATGAGGATGGCTGATTTGCAGGTGCACTAAACTAACAATTACTGGGCAGTTAGAATGTGTATTTGTCACATGTTTAGGTAAGGTTTATGGAATATAAGAAACCGTCATAATGTTGAATGTTTAGGAAAAAATATCAATAGATAAGAAAAACCATTGAACCACAAGCAGAATACAACATGTTATATTGAAGAATAATATAACCACATTGTGTTTTATTTGCATAGCAAACAAACTGTTAGTATTTCAATTAAATCTGTCCACCTATAGTTTTATCAGTCTTTTTTGTATTCCCGGTGAACTTGAAAATTGCTCACATGAGCTTGTTTTAATCAGTGATGGAGGAAGTATTCTTTCATATCACAGATGAACAAAAGCTTTAAACTGGTTGTCCTAATATAATATAACAGAAGACTAATGCAGGCCGATACATGAGTTGATTTTGGGCTGCTCGTTATACACTAACTGGACAAGAAAGTAAATGACATATTTCTCTTTTTTGCATGCAAGGTTTAAAAAAATAAAAAAATAAATCAGTAATAATGCTGATAGTTCATTAAAAAACATGTAGTGCAACACAAAAGTTACATTTTGGACATGTAATAAAGTGATACAGCCCTGAGTAGTAGCTTGGGAGCGTGGTGATGTTAAATACATAGCCGGTTAACCTTCTAGTGCAATGTACCAAAATGAACACAAGTTTAATATTGGCTGGAAGTACTCACACGTCCATGTCATGTCACCTGAAACAGGGCCGGGGTAAGAGGCAGGATGCAGAGGATGGACGCTTCAGGAAAGACCAGCTGCAGCAGGCGGGAGACCTCCACTCCCTAGGGTCCAAAGAGAGTTTTTTGGTCCTCTTTGTCTCATGAATTCAAATGTCTCCTCAGTCACTTTAATGAACCAAAAGATCATTTATCTCATACCAAGTTAGGTTTCTCTTATCCAACAACAATAGCTAACAACATTGGTGGAGTGTAACTAAATATATAGACTTAAATTATTATAATGATGTACAATATTGAGATACTTGAACGCAGTATCTTAATTGTATGGTACTTTCAGTGGTGTAAGTAACTATGAACATTTAATCAAGTACAATTTTGAGAGATGTGTACTTCACTGGAGCATTTCAATCTTTTGCTACTTTGTACTTCTATCTCACTACAATTCAAAGGGAAAACTGTACATTTACTCTAGTACATTTATAAAAGGTCTTTGCTTACTTTGGTTACTAATTTTTTTTTAATGAATGTTTATGTATGATCACAGATTCATTCAGCTCATTCAGTTTAGTTAACCAGTATCATTTTAAAGTTATTAAAATAAGCCCCACCATTACCAGCTTCAACATTCAAGTGATGTTTCTTTAACGCATCAAAAATGTTAATCCAGCAACATAATAAAACGATGTAGGGCCTATATATTATTTTGAAATAGGAACAATTGCATAATAGCCGCGTTCACACCGGAGTACTTTTCACCGTACTTTTCGCGTTTAGTTCCGTTAGTACCCCTTAATCTCGAGAACTTTTACCCCCATTTTTAGTGCCCGCTGAGAGATCGTACTTTCCTGTGGGTAAAAAGTGCCCCAGTGCTGATTGGCTGGGCGAATTGCAAACCACGCCCCGTACAACTGTGAAAATGTTGTATAGAGCCGCCATTGTTTTTCCTCGCTACAAAAACCCAGCGCACCGACGGAGTTGTTTTTGAAAGCAGTTATGGCAAGCATCAAGAAATGATGAGGAGGTGTCTGCGCTTCTGGAGATCTACGCCGAGGACGCGACCCAGGGAATGCTACTGAAGCCAGTTCAGTAGCTTTCACTCGACCTGGGAATCGTGCACAGCCCCACGGCATACCGGCTAAAAATAAAGAAACTCAGGCAGGACTACAAACGGCGGATTCAGTGGCCAACGATGACGACCACGACGAAGGTAAAATCAACTACATGCACTGGGGTTTTAATCTGCACAATAATGGTCTCAGATGTACTTTTATTTGCTCAGTAGATCAAGCTAGCCATGCTAGGCTGAATAGGCTAACACCGGCCCCGAGCTAGCTACATCTAGCTAGCTAGATATTCTCGGCCGCTATGAAAACGTTTGGACTTGTGAATAACTGTGCAGTGTTTCTGTAATTTGCTTCACTAACTCATGGCACTAATCGTCTGTTTCAGGCGAGGATGGACAACTCTCGGGATTGGAAACAAGCGAGCTTTGCATTCTAGATCACAGCGCTTGCTCGGCCCCCTTACCAGCAACCAAACGCAAAGGTACACACACTGTAACTTTGTCTTGAAAGAACGTTACGCATCGAACTGATGTTCACAATCATGTTTATTTCCTTCTTGGTACAATTATGAAACAGCGTGAAAACGTATTCGCCTAGACCGGCATTTACAAATGTTCGCGCCTTTTTACTCTCTCACAAACATTGTAAACATCCGGGCTAGAGGTCACATGACTTCCGGTACGAAAACTTGCCTCAACAACATTAAACAAAGTTCAAGCATACATGAAGCACAATCCTCCGTGTTTGAACCTCTTAAATCGCTGCATAGCCGATTTATTTGGACTGGATTATCCCAGAGAGGCTAAACATTCTTTATAACACAGTTTCAGATTTGTGAAACCTTAATTCTATTTGTGAAAATACAAAAAAGAGAGATTTCAGTGCTTTTTCGCATCCTGGCCACATTAGACCAGGTCCTGATCTAAAACCACTATACCTAGACTCATCAAATCTGGACTGGATTATCCCAGAGACTCAAAAGATTCTTTTTAACACAGTTTGAGATTTGTGAAACCTTAATTCTATTTGTGAAAATACAAAAAAGGGAGATTTCAGTGCTTTTTTTACATGTAGACCACATTAGACCAGGTCCTGATCTAAAACCACTATACCTAGACTCATCAAATCTGGACTGGATTATCCCAGAGGGTCTAAACATTCTTTATAACACAGTTTCAGATTTGTGAAACCTTAATTCTATTTGTGAAAATACAAAAAAGGGAGATTTCAGTGCTTTTTTTTACATGTAGACCACATTAGACCAGGTCCTGATCTAAAACCACTATACCTAGACTCATCAAATCTGGACTGGATTATCCCAGAGAGTCAAAAGATTCTTTATAACACAGTTTCAGATTTGTGAAACCTTAATTCTATTTAATACAAAAAACACATTCCTAGTATGTTGTAAAACTACATGGCGACTAAACAGATCTTGTATCTTGCTTATTTTCCCCTCTTAGGAAAGCGGACACGGGATGCGAATTTCTTTGACACCGCCCAGGCGTTGGAGGACCGGCGTGCCGTGGTGAAAGAGTCGATGCACGGGGATCAGATGGTGCTGTTCACCAAGGCCCAGGAAACGGAGGACAAGATGCTCACCAGTTCATTTTATATTATTGTTATTACTGTTATTATATAGTCTTGATACAACTGACACTTTATTTTATATTGATAATGTTAATTTACATGTACAACTTCTATTTTATTTACATTAAAAATGTGAACTTCTATTTACTGTTAAACAGATCCTGTAGCTTGCTTATTTCTCCTGACACTTTATCTTTAGTG